TTGCCACCTGATTTTTGAGGGCCTCTTCCACAGTAAATGTCCCCTTGTCGGCATTTATATAGCACATAAATATCTTCACATGATATGCACATACATCCTGAGAGGTCCAGCCACAGATTTCTTTATCACTAATCTTCCAGTCGTATTCTTTCCAGATTCCTGAGTGCACCCATCAGCCATTGCCCTTGAATTGCATCTTGTTTTCCACATGAAGTGTGTATCTGGATGTACTGTTTGCAATTCTACTTTGGAGGATTTCCCTACTGTCTTTCAGGGGCTCTTCTGAGTAGAGCTGTAATTAAGCAGTTATCCATTTCTGGCTAGTGCTGGCATACCTTACAGATTCATCTGTAAACCAACCCTGTACTTTTCCCTCTTAACTGTCAGGTCTCCAGGGAGCGACAGGTGTAAGTTGATGAGAGGCAAAAAGGAGTGGGAACAGGCTCCAAGGAGTCTGAGTCATCTGCTTGTGTGGTTTACGGGGGCTCCTGGACTGGCTTGGTCTGATCTCACGTGTGTCATTTTGATTTCACAATGGAGCTGCTGTTCATGTCCACTTTTATGTTCTGTGGCCCAGATAATACCCATTACATGGTGGGCACATAGTTATTTGGCACCCTATGGTGTAGGCAAGAGAAGGCATGGCCTTCCTCCAAAGCCCTAGAGATCAGCTTTGTGATTTCCTACTGGGCTCATGAGAGGCTGCATTTAGCATCTGTCTCTGCCTATGGCAGTTGCATTGGTTCCAGGTTGTACTGTCCGGGCAGCCTGTGCACTGGGCTGGGCCTGCTGCAGAACCCTTTCTTGCTTTGATGAGCACTCAAAACGGGGTAAATGATCAGAGCAGAACGCCCAAATGTGGTTTACATTGCCTCCAAAATTCAAAGAGGCCATGATTACTGTGATTTTGTGTGTGTGTTGGGCAGTTTGAGGTACAACAACTTGCCTCTCCCGTTAGAGAAGACAGCCTGACCCGCTCCTGACCACTGTATAAACATTGCACAGGTGTGGCAGGCCCTTGGACTTCCCCAGGACTTATCACCCACCTCTGCATGCAGGCAGCACCAGGAGTGCTGGCCACTCGCTGCTTAGTAAGTCCAGTTAGCATTGTATCATCACTGTAATGGACCAGTGTGATGTTCTGTGGGATATCAAGGAAATCCAGGTCCCTCTTAATAGAGCAGAGTTGACATAGCTGTGAGGCAAGACAATCAAGGTATACTTGTCCCAGTCACATGAAGCTAACTGATTCTAATTATCTTTATTAATAGATTTTGGAAAAACATTTCTAGGCTGAGGGTAAGGATCCCACAGCTGGAACTACAGCTATGATTGGCATCACCACCTGATTATATTTGCAATAACCTACAGTCATTCTCCACAATCCATCTGGCTTTTCAGAAAAGCAGGCAGGTGATACTGGAATGTGATAAGAATCAAGTATTTGATGGTGACAGTAATCTTTGAAGTTTCCACTGAAATATTTTTGGGGGGGCAAGGGGGTATAATTCTGAGGGCTTCTACCTCGTCCTAACCATAATAGCCTGAATTCCATGGGTCATAGAACCGATGTAGGGATTCTGCCAGTTACTGAGTGTTCTATTCCCATCATACGTTCTGAGACCATGGAAATAGCTGGAGGTAGGTCTGTGGTTTTACTAGGCCCATTGTGGGGTGGAGCCTAGGCCAAGACTTCATGTGCCACCTGATTTCCATAAATCTCTACTTAGTAGACTACAGTGCAGTTGTTGGATCTCCAGAGATTAGTGTCAGTTAAGAGCCAGCATCTAACAAGACCTGGAAATTCTGTGAATTTCCCTTTCCCAGTACAGTTGTTGTAAATGGCTTCAGGTACCTGTAGGGAAGGCTTAGACTCTTAGAGCAAGATTTACTCTATATGCCTGTGGTGGAATTTCAGGATTCTTCCTCAAAGGGATTTTACCTTCCCCTCAATCAAGAAGCTCTGGCTCTGTGAACTGGCTTAGGTGTAGGAACTGGGTAAGAGGCCACGAACCCCACCATGATGACAATAGTTAAGTCTTCCATCTATGTATTTCTAACAGCACGTAGTAGGCTGCTTATCTATTTCCTATAGGTCTTGTGATTCATTAACCATTATGATACATCTCTGAAAGTAAAAAACAACAAAAAGCTGATATCTTTGTATCCCTGTGGCTTACTATGGCTATTGTGCCTAGTTGTCTCCAACAGTTAAGCATAACCATCTGGCTTCCACCACTTCAGGATGCCATCATTTCCATAGAGATCAGGGGACCTGATCACCCACTGCATCACCCACTGTCATCTTCAGCCTACAGATGACGAGCACCACAAAGCTCTTCAGCAGTGCTGGTGCCCATCACTGGACAGTTTTTAATGCCTCGGTGAAAGGAGTATCCTCCAGGGCCATTGGAAGGTGGCTGAGTACATAACAGATGCATTCCCAGTCCCATTTTATGGAGTCTTAGCTTCCTTCACAGTGTGCCAGAGGAGGACTTTTTTTTCTGAAGGTCACTCCTGCGTCCTGTACCCATGGTGCTCCCTCGGTGTCTCACTCTTTGTCTGTCTCTCTCTTTCTCTCTCTCCCCTCTTTTCATGTCCTGCT